TATCGATGCTCAACCCAGTATATCCTGATCGGATAGTATTCCTTCAAAGTTTGAAACTTTCCCTTGTAATTCCAGCCTTTTATTTTTCTGATAAACAATTCTTTTATAGTCACAAGACTGTCGGGCAGACACTCATTAAGTTTTGCTTCAATTTTTTTTTTGAAAGATGAGAGTATAATAGCAAAGGTAGAGAGTGGGCAGAAGATGCCTAATGTTGCTGGGCAGTATGGCATGGACAGATCTACAGTAGGCCACACTTCAATCTCATTTAAGAAAAATACTGTATAATCAAGAAGACTCAAGCAGCTAAAAGAGTAACAAAAATCACATCTGAGAAATAAAGAACATCGAAGAGTTCATAATGGAACCTGAAACTGATCTGATGACAGAAGATCTCCAAGAACTCTCGAATGAAGAACATCAAGAAACTCGGCGAGATATGTTTTCTTCTGAAAAAGAGGATTAATGTCAATATCTGCTATTAAACATCTTTTGAAGAAATGGGAGGATGTAAGAACAAGTCTTAGAATGGCATCCAAACCAGGTTGAGGTTAATAGGCTTGGGGATCTCTACAATTACAATGCTATTAATTACTTCTGAAAAATCCTGAAGAAGAGAGAAAAGTAATTAACATTAGACAGTTTCTTTAACCCCCACAAACAAAAAAAACATAACTAATAAAAATGCAAGACTATGTATATATGTATTTTTATTATTACATATAAATAAAGGTAGTAAGAAAGTATATCTTTTTCATTTTTTGGAGTCTCCAGAACAAATTAATCAAATTCCCATAAAAACCTATGGTAAATCAATAATCGGTTAACAAACAATTTGGATAGCAAACAAAGTCTTGGAACAGATTATGTTCGTTAACTGATCATCCACTGTATATATGATTGATTTAGTGTGAAAGTATTTAAAAATAATTTAAGTAAAGTGATTTTGAATAAATTATTATTGAGATTACTAAACTCATCTTTTAAGCAGCAAAACAGTATTTAATAAAGAACATTTTTGGTCTTATTAAAAGGCCATCTTTAGGTCAAGAATAATTCCATTGAGCATTATAAATTCAATGGTTAAGAACATGAGAAAAGAATATAAGTTTAGAGAACATCAAAACATTTCAAATTAAGACCAAAATTAAAATACCATAAAATAACAAATGAATACCAAAAATACAAAAAATGGATAAATAATGATAAATAAATAATAAAAAAAAATAAGAATAATAAATTATAAAATATGTGTAAATCATNTGACAGGAGAAATATTTTTTTTCTCAGTTTTAAAACGAGTTAAAAATTATTTAAGAAATTCAATAGGACAGGAAAGGCTAATGTCTTTAGTAATGCTTGCTATAGAAAAAGATTTTCTCGAACGACTAGATTGCAAAAATATTATTAATCAATTTTCTGAAATGAAAATCCGAAAACGACAAATTTTAATTTTTTAAAGGCTGATTAATGACTGTAATTATATAGCTTTTTGTTATACTAGAAACTCTTATACAAATATTATTGTGTTAGTGTTTGTTTTCTGTATTATTAATAAAATATTTTAGTGACATTATTTAAGATTTCTTTAGAAGCAAATTATTTAAATAGGCCCCAATTTAAATTTTGTCTAGAGCTCGCTAGAGCCTTTATTCGGCATTGTTAATATGATTTTAATTTTAATGTTTGTTGATTTTACTTTTTGCTCGGGCAACGCCGGTCATATCTGCTAGTACAATATAAAAGATAACATAATCTTTAAATTTTATCATTAGTAAACTTTAATAAATAATATCTAGTAATGTATTTCATGTAAAAACGTAAAAAGTAACCAAAATAGAGTGAATTAGTTACACAAAAACATACTTATATTTGATTAAGCATTTTCATTCTTTTCAAAATTCATGGCGTTGGTCCTTACTCAATCGAAGGTCAGATTGGCCGAGTGGTCAACGTAACAGCTTACCGCTGTAGAGTACCGAGATCGAATCCGGACGGGCCGAAAAATCCTCAGGAATTTTTCTGGGAGCAATCCGTTCGGATACGTAGGACCTCGTCCCTCGCTGCACTCATGTGGGCCTGGTAGAACTCAGCGAGTTTGCTATAAGAGTTTAAAAAAAGTCTCACTTGACAATTATATCGTGGCTCGATTTATGTCTGTCGGTGATTTCTGATTATTGTTGAAATTGTTTGCCAAATTATTTTTAATATTCTATTTATTTTTTATTTATGCAATATAGGGTTTATATATATGCATTACATGATCAAATAATAATATTCGGATAATTTAAGTTGAAATTAAGTTGGCAACACTGTAATAGAATTGCTGAAGTGGCTTGTGGTAGGTTTTGGCGAATTTGCTATGTATCTGTGAGCTAATCCAACGTTTTGTCATTTTTTAAACTAATAATATTTAAATTACAAATATTTTTAATCTCTTGATGTTTTATTTTAAATTTTAATAATCAGTAAATATTAGCTTTGTTATTAAATAAAACTACCGAATTGCATATACCCGGCAGTTTGTTACAAGTCAGTTGAAAACACGTGATACAATAACAATGGCAAAATTTCTCCATAAAAATTTACATGTAGAAACTGGAAGGCTTATAACTTTTACAACTAACGAAATGTCGATTTTAAATAGATAACTTTTCATAATTAAATGATTTATTTAAATTTTTATATACACAATAAATCAAACAAACACACACACATACACAGATGGCCATGTAACGTGACAACAGTCTTAGCAAGCTCCACTAAGACTTGCATTTAATTATTAGCCCAGGTTACAATGAGCGTATTCAAAATCTCAGCACCTCTGTTCAAAATCTCGGATTGCTTCCAGTTGCTGCCAGTTTGCTTCTAGCAAACTGTAAGTGTCTTTTTTGGTGCTGGATAAACTAGCAAACAAGATGGCAGCTTCTATAAGGCTCTTAAGAGCTCTATTTTGTGTTGACAATTTTGAATTTAATTTATTTGTCGATGAATAAACCCCAAATAAATTAATATTCAGTTAGTACATTAATAGAATATTTTAATATACTAGTATATTTACCTAAGACATCACATAAGTTTTTTTAGTTGTTAAAGTGTGATCTTAGGATTGATTTAATTATTTAAAATGCCTACGGAAATTTAAAATATCTTTATCTCTATTTCTCTTTTTGAAATTTTTATTTTTCATTAATCTGTTTTAATTTAAAAAGTTCAAAAATCATTTAATGTAACATGGAGGTCCACATCATTTGCCATTTTTATTGTTTTTCTCTCCCGAAATTCTTGGCAGTCAGCATTTGTTTTCTCTATAAAATTCCAGTAGTTGCATCACTTCCGGCAGCATCTCACTGGATTGATGCTGAGATTTTGAATAAGCCCTATGCCAGCTTTGACTATCCCACTTGGCCACTTGTGGAGTGCTTGATGTTATATAGGGGTCTGTGGGGGCTTGCCCCTATGCAGACTCTGAGGTGCAAGCAATAGCAAGTACCGAAGCACGTGACTACATGCAAAACATTGGTCAAGGCTCACTATTGCTTGCCTTGACTGATGCAGAATAAGCAGTGGTACTGATTCAAGATAAAAGTTGTTTTTGGTCAATAGACGTTAATGCATTTATTATTCATGAGTTCAGGAATTATTCCATTGCAATAATGTGTGATCTGAAAGTCAATGTTTTCACATCTTTTAGCCACATTTTCTGCTTTTATTGCTTCCTTGTTCTTAAGAATGGTGTATACTATCATGGCCACGAGATCCACTTCATGATTCACAATAAGTTCCTTTTCCACCTCAATTATTAATACTACAATCTTTCTCTCTTGGTTAATAGAAGTTTTATATATATAACCAAACATCAAAAATAAAGTGAAAAAAGCACTGAAAGCACATGAGTGTAATGCAAGAAATACTTTTGCAATAAGAACAAAAGACAACCTATGTTCACAGTATAGGTTGTCTTTTGATAGATGATGATTATGCAGCAAGTGCATTTTTTCACTGCATGTGTGGCAAACATAGAAGAATTGTTCAAATTAATAATGAAAGACAGTTTTTAAATATATATTAATATTCAAATAAATTATTTTATTTAAAAGTTTGGTAATTAATTAAAGTTATTGCTATTTCTTTGATTATGAAATAACTACAGAATTGAGTCCTTTTTTACTATTATACACAATTTGTAGTTTTATAACAAAAATAAATTGAAATATTTAAACTAAAAATGATATTGATAAATTTGAAATTGATACCAATGATTTAATAAGTATTTCAATAACAGCTGTTAAATATATTATTTGCTGCTAAGTTTATTATATATATTTCTCTATTTTAAACTTGCAAATGATATCTTAGGTGTAACTGTTCATACCTTTTTTTCTTAACTGTAAAATTATTTTATAATTTGAAATAATAACTTTGTTATGTAAAGTTAATCATGCAGATGTAACTAAGAATCTCTAGTTTTATTATTATTCAAAAAATTTTGAAAAAATGTATAGAATTTTTTAATTAGGTTAAAAGAGCTGTGAAAAACTTTTTAAAATAAAGCAGTTTGACATTCTAAACATATCTGTCTGATTAATTCCAGAAAATGAATGTATGAATAAAAAATAAATGAATTGCTATAAAAGCTCAATATTTTTTTTATGAGTGCTTATGAATGTTGTCAGTATTTTAGGTTAGATTTACCTTAGGTAGCCAACATGGCTGCGCTCTGACTGTTTGTGGTCCAGATGGACTCCTCCCAGAAGGCTGCCGAGTGCCAAATGTCACTAGTTGTTGATTCACGGTAGTTCTTGAACAAAAAAAAAAAAAAAAAAGGAAACTTCTACTAAAGATGTAGCTAATCTAACAGAAACGAAACAAACGTAACCGAAGCACCGTCATTTTGTTTACCTAAGGTAAATTTGACCGTATTTTATATAAACAATATTTATAAACCTAGCATATTTTATTATTAGTTCAGTTTAAATAATTTTTATTTATTTATTTAAATATTGATAGATTTAGGATTGATATTGAATATGCTGAATTTTGCAGGTCTATGAATGTCTAAAAATGTTTAGAGAAGGAATCATTTGTTTTTAATAAGTTCATTATCTCTATTTACCATAGCTGTTAATAAAATTATAGCATAATCTCAGTTCTAGAATGAAGATAATTAATTTGTTTAATGCATTTAATCGTCAAATTTATAAGAACTATTATTACAAAATTTTTGGATTAAAGATTCATAGTGGTAAAGCTAATGTACCTACCAAAAGTTTAAAACAAGTGTATCATCAAAAATTTTTAATAGCAAAATATTCTAATTGGGCAATAAAACAAGAAAAGTGAGTGTTTGTAATTATAAATTAACAATAAAATAATATATGGATTTTATTTTTCTCTCCAAATATATTAACTCAATATACAGTATAATGATTCCTCCTGTTTAAATTTCAGTTTACAGAGAAATCTCTCAAAAGAAATTAAATTGTTTTACATTTTTTTGTAACTGGACATTGTAATAATAATTATCTGTTTTAGAAGTATTAACTTACTGAGCTTTGTTGTCTTGAATATTTAGTTCTGGCAGTTTTCAAAGGCATGTTCTAATATTTGTTGAAGCTAGAATTTATAGACATATCTTAACATCCTTATTATCATTAAATCTCTATCCTTACATTTATTTATGACTTGAATTGCATATTAATCTTAAAAGTTTATCTAAGAATTAATGACATTTTTTAATTTATGAATTTATTTTAACAAAAATTATGTAATAATAATTTCTGCAAAGCAATTTCTTTTCTTTCAAATCATGATTATCATACCACAATACTGTTTTTTGAACTTTTAACATATATAATGATGGGGTCACTAGTTTCAGATGAGAAACTAATAAGTGAATTTTGACAAATAATAAAAAATTAATTTTAGTAATTATTAAAAACATTTAGCAGATAAAACAAGTTTATTATTTATCTGCAAACTTGCAGATGAATAAATAATCTAGTTATTGTTTTTAGAAATTGAATTTAAAATATTTTTAACATAATAATAAGTTTTTTACAGATAAAAATGAATTCAAAATTAAATTTCAAACTTTTCACAATATATATATTTTTTTGTAATTTGTTATTTTAACGTTATTTTCATCAATACTGCAGACCTTCATCGTACAATGTTCTTAGAATGCTGATTGTGGTTTGTTGTATTTTAAGTTGGCAAGGTGTTTTTTAATTCTAGTTTTTAATTTTTTTCTCATTTTGTCGATATATGAATGATTCACGTATAAAAGATGGTAAGTGCCATAATGAAAGTTTGAAGAAAATACAAAAATTAATTGAATTACATTGTTATTTTACAGTTAGAATCTATTACTATCTGATATAGTTTTTCTATTAATCGTTTTGGATAACCTGTGCATTTTTTCTCTTAATACTTATTCCTGTATTTTTTGTTGATTTTTTTAATATTTTATTTGGTTTATTATTTTTTATATTACATTACAAATAAATTGTTTTTTACATATATTGTGTATATGAACTAAAGTTTAAAAATTTTTATTGCAAGATTTTTCATATTTTATATATGAAAAATCTTGTTAAATAATGTTAAAAATTAGAACACAGCTATGTTCGAAAACTGTTAGAGATAGAGCTGTTTTTTCTGTTCTATGCAATTTTTCCTGACAAGGGCCTCTGAAGGATGGCCGAAAATGTTTGAACATTAAACCTTTTTTATTGTTCATTTGCTGGAATTATCGCTTAGGTGTGAAGTGGTTGTTTTAATATTTTATATATTAAATTTAAAAATGCTTAGTTTTGTTTTGATATTCAGGTAATTAATATTTTCTTTTCTTTTTGGCTTTTCCTCAAATTTCAAAATAACAGTTTTTTAATATTACTTCTGTGTTATTAAAATCTATTATTTTATTGTCAAAAACTATTAAAATGCAATCAACATATCCCATATATGAGTATTCTTATCTAAATGTGTTTTTGTTAGTTTTAAAGTTTAGCAAAGTTATAATCTAAAAAATCTGGCATTTAAACCATTTGATTATTAAACATTTAGGTTTAATTGTTTATTTGTGTGTATGTATATTAATTAAAAAATTAATCATTAAAACTGATTAAAGATAAAGGTTATCTTGTATCAGATTCTTTAAATCATTAATTATATTATTTTGTGTGTTTGATTTGAAGGAAAAAATTTTAATAAATTTTATATATTTTAAAGTAATTTATTTATGTAAAATATATAAATTTAACATCTTTGTTTATTTATTTCACTTAAAATTTGTATCCTTGTTAAACAGTATCATTCAAGAAAGCAAGATGTCAGACTATGTGTTTCCCAATGATCAGCCTGTTGTGTTATTAGATTGTGAAAAAGCTTTTTCTGCTCTCACGAATCAAGAAAAACTCTATGCACATTATTTATCTCGTGCAGCATGGTATGGTGGCTTAATAGTGTTGATGCAAGTAAGAATATTTTTTAAAATGTTTCTTTAAGTTTTTTCATTAAATCCATAAAAATAGGAAATAAAAAAATTTTATATGAATAAGTAATATCTTTTATAGGATTTTATAAAAACATAAGGCTTTGGAAAGATGATACAGATTGAAAATTTGAACAGATTTGTTTTTCACTAAGTTTACATATTTATATAAAATACATTTAATCTTGATTTAAAGTTTTTATGTTTTGAATACAACTTATAATTTTTTTATTTTTTTCAACTGAAATTAAACAAATTTGAATTTAATTTGCCAATACTAATAATATATTTTTCAATGTAATCTGTATATAAAAATAATTATAACAAATGATTTAGTTTATAAAAATCTAAAGATATTTTTAAATTTAGTTGGTAATTGTAATAAATGCATTACAAAACTTTAAAATAAGCATTTCTAGATCTAAGTACAGTGGGTGATCGGTTAATAAACAAATCAGATAACGAATACTTTTGTAAAAGATTTTTGTGTTCAGATAATGAACACCTCACAGAACAAACACAAGAAGAAGCAACGTAAAATAATGAATATCGATTGGTCTTCCCTTGACTTCAGGCAACAATTCAAAACTTTTTGGAGCGTGGGAGACGTTGATATCGATGCTCAACCCAGTATATCCTGATCGGATAGTATTCCTTCAAAGTTTGAAACTTTTCCTTGTAATTCCAGCCTTTTATTTTTCTGATAAACAATTCTTTTATAGTCACAAGACTGTCGTGCAGACACTCATTAAGTTTTGCTTCAATTTTTTTTTTGAAAGATGAGAGTATAATAGCAAAGGTAGAGAGTGGGCAGAAGATGCCTAATGTTGCTGGGCAGTATGGCATGGACAGATCTACAGTAGGCCACACTTCAATCTCATTTAAGAAAAATACTGTATAATCAAGAAGACTCAAGCAGCTAAAAGAGTAACAAAAATCACATCTGAGAAATAAAGAACATCGAAGAGTTCATAATGGAACCTGAAACTGATCTGATGACAGAAGATCTCCAAGAACTCTCGAATGAAGAACATCAAGAAACTCGGCGAGATATGTTTTCTTCTGAAAAAGAGGATTAATGTCAATATCTGCTATTAAACATCTTTTGAAGAAATGGGAGGATGTAAGAACAAGTCTTAGAATGGCATCCAAACCAGGTTGAGGTTAATAGGCTTGGGGATCTCTACAATTACAATGCTATTAATTACTTCTGAAAAATCCTGAAGAAGAGAGAAAAGTAATTAACATTAGACAGTTTCTTTAACCCCCACAAACAAAAAAAACATAACTAATAAAAATGCAAGACTATGTATATATGTATTTTTATTATTACATATAAATAAAGGTAGTAAGAAAGTATATCTTTTTCATTTTTTGGAGTCTCCAGAACAAATTAATCAAATTCCCATAAAAACCTATGGTAAATCAATAATCGGTTAACAAACAATTTGGATAGCAAACAAAGTCTTGGAACAGATTATGTTCGTTAACTGATCATCCACTGTATATATGATTGATTTAGTGTGAAAGTATTTAAAAATAATTTAAGTAAAGTGATTTTGAATAAATTATTATTGAGATTACTAAACTCATCTTTTAAGCAGCAAAACAGTATTTAATAAAGAACATTTTTGGTCTTATTAAAAGGCCATCTTTAGGTCAAGAATAATTCCATTGAGCATTATAAATTCAATGGTTAAGAACATGAGAAAAGAATATAAGTTTAGAGAACATCAAAACATTTCAAATTAAGACCAAAATTAAAATACCATAAAATAACAAATGAATACCAAAAATACAAAAAATGGATAAATAATGATAAATAAATAATAAAAAAAAATAAGAATAATAAATTATAAAATATGTGTAAATCATCCACATGGGCAATGAAGAGTAAAAGTAGCAAAGAACTAATACAAAACATCCTTGAAAGTTACTGGGTGTAAATTTTAAACCACACCCTCCAAGTAGTTCATAGTGTGTGCAATCTTTATAGTTAATAAATTAATCTTGATGTGTTGATTTATATATTTCCAAGGTTTCCACAAGGCTTCCATAGGAGATGTTTATTTCTGACAGTCTTTGTGATCCTAGCCTGATTCCAATGTATTATACATTAACTAAAGTATCAATTGTATAAGCTGACAGTGCTGTAATGCAAAATTAGATGCTAATAATCATTTATCCTCATCTATTAAAATTTTTTCTCTCATATACAATAAAGCAAAAATTCTAAAGAAATTTTGAGACTAAATTACAGATCAGATTTCAGATTAATACAGCTGATATTGAAACTATTCAATTGAAAATTAAACTTTATTAAGTTATTTATTTATTTTGCAGACATCACCAGAGAGTCCATTGATTTTTGCCTTCCTTTATAAATTGTTTAAACAGCAATCAATAGAAGAATTAAAACAAATTGCAATTCAAGAATGTGAATTCTCAGACGATGATTTCACTGTATGTTTAATTTATTCTTATTATTTTAATATATTGTTTGATTACTTATACTCTCTTTTTTTAGGCATTACTTGTTTATTTCTCTGGAATATTGACAAATATGGGCAATTATAAAGGATTTGGTGATACAAAATTTGTTCCTGATCTTCCAAAGGTAAATGAAAATGTTTCTTTTATTATTTTTAAAATCATTTATTAACTTAGTGTCTAGATACATTCATAAATATTTTTATATCGTTTATTGAATATTTCTCTGAAAGAATAGCATTTAAATTATAGAAAATTTATCTAGGAATTACTTGATGCTCTTATTTTTTTTATAGTTATAAATTAAATCTATTATCAAAACCCACATTAGAATTGTTAAATATTTAAATTTAAAATTGCTGTAAAACGTTCATTTATATTTAAGAATCTATCCAAGTTGCTATTTTGCAGAAAGTGCAGAATTTCTGTTGAAGTGTAAATTTTACTATTATATACAAAATAGTGTGATTTTTAAAAATGATCATACTTTTGATTGAAGTTTTACTTACACTAATTCAAAAAAATCTAACCTACGTTTTGTGCATTTACATTATAGATGTCCAATGCAACTCCTTGTTGAACCTCTTCATATAAATACCTTATTTATCTTGAACAAGGTTATTGACAACAGCATTTACATCCCAGTTTGAAATCTGTGGTGGTTTTGTTATTTTTATTTTGACCACTTTCCTGTTTTTTAAACAAAACTGATTTGATTTCTTTTTTTATGTCACTTATTTAGGAATTTTTATTAATTTTCATAAAAGAAAAATTTTTTACAAGTCTGTATGAATACATTTTTTTAAACTTTATAATGTTGTTCTGTTTACACATCATCATTTTATTTAAAAAAACTTTTTTCTATTTTATTTAAGGCTTTTTCAATTAAACAATATTTGAACAGAATGATAAGTACAACTTGAAAAATGTAGAAATTATAAGGAAAACAAAATTTTAAGTTGCACTACAAATGAAAATTTATATGTCACAACATTGGAATTTCACATATTTATTGGTTTTTAAATCTATTTATGTACTGTAGACTAGCAAAAATATTTTTACATAATTCATACAGACATATTAATATAATTTTAGATATATTCATATAGAGGTGTTAATTGATCTGTTTGAAAGAACATATTTCAATCTCACCTTCACTATTGAGTGGTATACATTTGGTGTGTCTTGATCTCAGGAGCCATCTTGTATCAGTCAGTCATTCCTGGTAGTGTTGTCAGGAATATTGTTGTCATTGCTATATGTTCAGGAAATCCTGCACCCTCATGCATTGCCACTCCTGACAGATCTGAAATCATCCATTTTCCAGTAAGATAGTGTTTGGCTGCACATAGCTGTTTTACAGCAATGTATCCCTATGTTGCCACACTTGGTTGACTGTCAGATCTCCAGATTTGTCATCCTTCAAGCATTTGTGGGACAAGATGGGATGCCAGCATTGACCATTTGAGTGTGAGAGATGTGGAATGTCAGTTGTAACATCTGTGGGTAAATCTGTTTCAGATACCATATATTGTCTGTATGTCTCCATTCCTGACCATATCATCATATATGTCCAGATGAGGGGATCCTACAAAGTACTAAAGGTTCCTTGAAATTGTATTGTTGTTCCACTAGGAAGTGTCTCTTTGCTATGATATTGTAATAATTTATTACCATCATCATCATGTTTTCATTTATAAATTTTTGATTCCAACTCCTTTAGGTGTGTGTCTTTTTTTTTTTTGTCAGTGAGTACATTTCTATATGATTGTGTCATTAGCTGTGACTGAATATTGATATTAATTACAGTTTTTAGTATAATCAAAAAATTTTTTTATTTTGATATATTAATATTTTATTTAATAAATATTTAAACACTTCAATAGGCTAAATTTGAAAAGCTTCTGAAAGCAAGTATGGCATATAAAAATGAACCAGATCTTCTTGAAATGATTTGGAAGAATTGTTCTGAATCTATTTATTCTCTGAATAGCCATGAGAAGCAGCTTGGATTTCAAGGAAAGGTGAGATAATTTTTTATTTAAACCTATATAGTTTTTATATAAAGCATTTCAGAGCATTTATTTAAATAAGATAATGACATTGAAACTATCAATTTTCTTTTGTGTTTACATTAAAGTGTTCTTTACTTCCAATGTTATCATTTATTTATTATTATTATTATAGTGTTAGTGGATTGTATTTGAATTAGCTAATACTAATGCTATGTCAGGTTGATTTGAAGGCATTTATCTAAATAAGCTGTGGATAGGTTTCTGTGTTGTTTGTGTGTTTGTCATAGAATGACTGAATCTGTAAGTAGATGATCTTTGCATCCCATTTAGTTTGTATGACAGCCTTTCTGTTGTTATGCAAGAATGATGTGTTATTCAAAATGATGATATATTTTGTTTGTAATGCATAATGTATTTTATAGTGTGTTGGAAAGAATGTGATCAGTCTATATTGTGTATGTTTTTAGTATTTTTTTTTAGGTTTTATGTATGTGACTTAGCATACATCATGCTGAATTTCAACACTTTAATTTTTCTGTGTGTTCTATTTTCATCAATATGCATTTGTAAGTGTTTGTTTTGTATGTTATTGTTACACTCAATTATTGAACATGGAGACAAAAACAATGAACTAAGTTTAGAATGACATCAAAAATGAACTCCAACCACATCTTACTATATTGAAATATGGAGATCAAACTACAAATTTTTTTTTTATTGTGGACAATTTCTGTTGGGCATGTACTGAGAGGATCTTTTCTCCAGGGCCATTGTATGTTTATCTAAACTGAAAATGGTGGATGGTAAGAGACAGAACCCAACAATTCCAGGATATTTACTTATAAAACATTTTTGGAGTTCATTGCCCACTTGGATTTGCTTCCTGGTCCCCAGAGTGGGTAGACTGATACTTTAACTGTCATGGCCATCTGGTTGGGCAAACTACAATGTAATGTTCTCTCACTGCCATTTTCCCCATATGATGAAATGAGACACCTCTGTCTAAATAATAATCTCATTATAAAGAATATTATAATGTCTTGTTTAATGTTTTAATATAATTTTATATATATAATTGTAAGTATAATTGTAAAATTAGAAACAATTATAAGTAAAAAACCATTAGGGGTGCCAGTAAATGGTTTGATGAGTTTAGAATGTTTACTTCCAGTGTGGATTGATACTCAAATTGTTGTTTATTTTCATTACTTAAGTAGGATCATTTGATTTTCATTTCAGAAGAAATCATTTTATTATTTTACATGATAGAAATGTTATACAGGAAATAAATTAGACTTTGCAGAAGGAATATGTGGTTTAGTTGAAAAATATTGAATAACAAATTTGATTAAAGGTAGAAATATTTTTACTAAAATAACTTTTTGACTTTAAACATGAGCAAGAAAAATAATACCTTTATAAATATAAAATTAATTCTTTAAAATTAGTTTTAAAAAGTGAATAATACAAGTAGTACTCAGTCACCAACTTGTTTGTCACTGATGCAGAAACACCAATTCATTTTACATATATAATAGCCTGTGTAAAGGATTTTGGCATGTCTTGTGGATTGTGATGGTGTGCATAAAATGTTTGACTAGTTTCTTGTGAAGGGATGGAAACTTTTTGTACCAGAAATTGTAAATGTTGTTTGCACCCAATGCCTTAATAATTGTGTGTTCATTGTATTGAATTTTGGATGCTCTGTATATGGGCTCTGTATTGAAATATTTCCCAGGCATCCAAAATTGCATTGAATTTTGGATGCCTGGGAAATATTTCAATACAGGAAATAGTCAGCGTCTTGTGCATGTTTTTCCCTTGGTCTTTGCTTTATCTTTATGCTTAGATTGGACAAAAAACAGACCAATAGTCTGACTTTTTTCTGTTGGTGTACTATTTTGCTGAGGTTGTGGTGGGTTTGGTATATAATTGTCTGTAGAAGAATTTTTCTATTTGTGAATAATTTTATTTTATTTTTTCATAGTGTGCAAATTTTGTATTTTTTGAGTCTTTGTAACTTAGCTGCAAACTTTTATTGGAGTGTGTCAATTATTCCTACATGTGATGTTTGCCTTTTGAATGTGTTTTAATCTTCTGGAACATCTTTCAAATTTCTTTCTTTAATTTTAGCGTGTTGTTGTTTTTACTATATTGTGTCAGTCTATGTAATTGTTATCTAATATCATTTACTTATGGCTTAGATTTGTTTTTTTGTCAGGTAAGCTTATGACTTGTTTGTTTTGACTGTATCTATTTTATGACTACATCATAGTGACCAAACCAGAATAAACTACTGTATATACAGGGTGTCTCAGTTAAATGTTTCAGAACTTCTAAGAGGGGTAGGGTGCATCCTGATGACTCAGAATCATATAGCAATGCAGGGTCAGAAATGCTTTCCTGAAGCGGTAGATGGCGTTGTGAGAAAGTTCTGAGCGTTCTTGCAGGGAATCATCATTTTGCACAAGGACGCAGAGTTAGCCTATATGCATTTGGTGTATCGGACTGCAGATTGTAGTGGACCAGCTGCACAGTGCTTGTACACAGAACGATATCTGATGAGACATATTCCCAGCCATAATTTCTTTGCAAGCCTGCACCAGAGATTAGCTATTTCTGTGTACATCACTGCTTCAGGAAAGCATTTCCGACCCTGCATTGCTATATGATTCTGAGTCATTGGGATGTACAGTACCCTACCCCTCTTAGATGTTCTGAAACGTTTAACTGAGACACACTGTATGTCTGAGTGTGTTGGATCTGGTTGAATGTGTTTTGATAATATTTGCCTATTTAGATAGTGTATAATTTCCCAATTGCTTTAATGTGTTTATTTTGGGTATTTGTGGTTCTGAGCAAGATCTAAACCAGGCATGGCCAACATACGGCTAAGGCCAGACCCAGCCCGTCTAATGAATTTATGTGGCCCATGATCAAGCTTTCAATATTAGGTATTAAAGTCCGAATAGCTTGATGAAAAATTCTGAAGCCTAAAAAAAAAAAGATCAACAACTCACTGTGCGTTTAGAGTTAACCTTCCATTACAAATCTCTTAAGTACAACTTAGAGTGTTGATAAAGCATGATAATGTGAAAAATGTATCTGCAATCTCTATCTACAATTCAGATTCAGTCTCTACGGGGTGACACCATATTGAGATCTCACACCACCTCAAAATCTTCCTAGGATAGCCTCTGGTTTGGCCCATGGAAAAAGTTTTCTTTCCAATCCAGCCCGGGGGCAAAAACTGTTGGCCACCCCTGATCTAAACCTTTATATTTATGACTGTTTCTTGGAATAAATGTAAGTATCAATTAATTATGTGTCTGTGATGCCATTGGTTGTAATTGTCATGTTTATGTTTTTATCATTGCTGTGTAAATTTTGGTAATAACTGTTGTTGAGTGTTTGGTCTTTAATTTGATCTGGTGTTTGTGCATTGATGTAACTGTTCTGAAACTTGTTGTTTGGGATAAGGTTGTTGTATATAAATGATTTTTCTGGTAAACAGCCTTTTACTCTGTTACAGCCTTAACAATGAAATGTTTTTATCCTTGTGTGAATTTGTTATACACTGTTTGTAGGTAGTCATGTCTGCATGTAAAGTACTAATGTTTATTTTTATACCTATTTACAACGATTATCGATACGAACTGTGTGCCGGAAATAGCCATTACCTAACGGGTACTTTACACAGATTCGCGTTAATGTGCCAGGCCTGGACTTTAAGCATGCACCAAAAGAAATAATGACAAAGTTAGTAAAAAAACGATCCAATATTGAATAATAACTCTAGTAATGACTATGTACAAAATTAGTAACAATCAACAACAATTTATTCAAAGAAAATCAACAATAAGAATCAACCCGACAAAACTCAAATCAATCTACTTGCTAACTTAAATGATATTCCCCTTTGGAACTCTACAAAAATTCAAAGACTTAACCTATGTACAACAAGTCTTATAAACTAAGGTCCTAATCGTCACCTCAATATACTAGGAATCTTTTTCTCAACCCTCAAGGCTTTCTCCAACCTTTGATCCACTAATTGAATATTTCTAATTACCTTGGAACAACTTTTATCACCTTCAATCACTATCGGACACCTCTTGTTCACTGCTACGAATCTCACCATGCTCATTGCTAACATAAGCTCACCTTGTTCATCTTTGCTTGAGGTATGGGCTTTATACTATGATGTGACGTCGCAATTCTGATTGAGACCACTCCTCTCATTTACATACTTATCTCTAACATTGAACTTTTCCTTTTTGCCTGGCAGCCTATTTCCCGACAATACTCGCTAGCCTTTTACATTATTCTTTCTGACAATATTTTGGAATGTTTTACTCTTTAAGGTTTAGCAAGTTATTTAATTGTGTTTGTGGAGTCTCCCCCCTCTTCTTAGTGCGGGCTTGTTTTTTCTGCTTTGGGAGTGCAAGTGTGCGCGAGTTTTTTCCTATGGTGTTTCTTCTCATTGGTGAGTTGGTTTTTTCTTTTTTCTGTTTTTAAGTTTCTAAGGAGAATGGTGAGGAGACCTTTGTCCTAACAAAACATAAGCACCAAACAAAAATAGAATAAAAAGCAAAATAAAAAGTAACTAAAAATAATGCTTGGACTTGGTTCCTGACATGCATACAGACAATGTATAACAAGTATATTGTTTGTTTGTGTGCATTTCTCTAATTTTTATTTAATTTCAAAATTCTTTACTTTCTCATTTAAATAAGTAATATCTTCAAAATTTTTTGAAAAGTTAATTTATATATATAATTTTATAAACAAAAATATTTATAATTATTTTATAGGGAATTACAACATATTTCTCAGGAAATTGTACAAAAGAAGATGCTGATATTGTTACCAACTTTTTAAAAGAAAAGGTATAATAAAATGAGTAATTCCAAATAATAATAATTTGGATTTTAATTACCTGATAAATACAATGAATTAGAAATGAATTAATGCTGCTATTGATTAATTAGTTCAATATTAATTTTATTAATTGTGAATATAAATTAATAATTTTTATTAATTATATTACAGAATATTGAAGCTTATAATAGTAGAGTGTTTAAAACTGTTGATGATGATGGAATCAGTACATATGAAATTCGGTTAGCTTCTGTAGCTTCTACAGGTAATTAAAACTAGATATGTATTGTTAAAGTAAGAGTATTAGTTCTAGAATTAATATTTAATAATATCATACCAGACAAAAAAATGATTTAGTAAAATTGAAGAAAATATGTCAAAAAGTATAAGGAATTCATTAACCTATCTGATGTTGAAATTTTTCTCAGTTGTGTGTCGCGCCATATTGAATTTTTGTTGATGTTAAGCCTAACAAAAATTATACATTTTTGAAAAAAATAATCATGGTTATTGTATTGTTCAAAATTATTTTTTTATTTTGCACAAACAAAATAAATATATTAATAAATGTAAAAACAAAAAAAAAAGTATATTTCAGAAGTTAGTTTTAACCACAAAACAACCATTTATTATCCTAACATTTTAATTATTAATAGCATATCAAAATTTTGAATTTGATTTCATTATGCTATTTTCAGAGGATAATGAAGATTCAGGACTTCTTGGGCAGCACATCATTAATGGATGTAAATTTGTATTAACACGTGGTGATTATTCTAAATTACTTAAGTGTGTAAATGCTAGTTTACAGAAAGCTAAGGTAGGTATTTTTCAATATGAATAAATGATAATACTGATAATTTTTATGAATTATATTTAATTATTGAAAAACGATATTGTTAGGAAATTCCTGAATACAGACATTGACACTGACACACTTATTTAATTTTAGTTTTGTTTTGATTGCTATGCCTTGACTCTGGTCTGGCATAGTACACAGCCACCGGTGTGAACCGAGTATAACCCATTGAACCCAACATAATAATAATAATATTTTATGTAACTAAATATGAACAAAATAGTTAATTTTAAAAATCAATTTTTTAAAATTATTTTTCTTTTATTATATCCTCTCTCCCTGGTAGTAATGGAAGTTACTATATGTCTAAAATATTTTGACAAAAAAATTAATTAAATTTTCAGTGTGTTGATATGGTTATATCTCATAATGCTTGAATATTCAGATTTTACATTATACTGCTGAAACAGATTTTTTTTTAATATTAAATTTCTATAAATCTTTATCTATAAAAAATTGATTTAATTATTATTCTGTATGTTTTGAGACTGATACTGACTTTTGTAAAATTTTAAAAAATTGTTAAAGTTTTATGACATATTTGTTTTTTGTTCATAGAAGTTAATAAGGTTCATTTTGGTTAATTCCTATTACAAAAAGTAATCTGCTAGAGTTTCATTCTTACTAGTATGTTTTGTCATTCTGAGACTCTTTTCAAGTGAAATAAAACAGAAGGAAGTAATTGCTATTATAAAGCAATATTATGTTACAAGAAACAAAACTACAATGTCCTCTGAATGAACAGTAACCTTTTCTGTTTATGTCAATTATTTTTAATTTATATAAAGCATTACAGTTGATTTTATTTTACAAAGAATGAAAAAGTGTATCTAATTTATTCATAAACAGGCTAATGAATAAAAACAAGTTTTATAAATGTAAATAATTATAGATATATATTTATTGAACTTTAAATTCAAACTCTTAAAGTTCCATTACAAAGAAGTTTACTAACAGTTTTTCATCACTACCTGTTATATGTTAAATCACTGTTTTGTTTTGAGTTTTATTTGACTATATTTTCTAGTCACTTTTATACAAATGTAGTTATTTAGAAAAGATGATAACTCTGATTAATTTGTGCTTTCTGTAATGTGCAAATATTTAATGTTTATTAAATGTATATATTGTAACTAATTAAAAATATATATATTCTGTTACAATAGTTTTAAAAACTAATTCTGTTTCAGAAATTTCTGGAAATTCAATATTTAAATTATTTGATCCAAAATGTTGAGATTAAAAAGAATGTGAAAAAGCATTATATTTCTTTAAAAATTTGTAGTTTGTTGCCAATTATCTTTACACAAAATTAAAACAGTTAAGCAGCTGTGCATTGCCTAAATCATTGTTTCTGAATTTGCATTTTAGTTCTGAATTTTTTATCAGATTATAATTACATTATTAGCCATTAAATTATTAATATTGATTAAATTATACCAATTATTTATCAGCTTTGACTTTGAAAAAATGTTTCTTTTAAAAAATTCTTTTACTTTAAAAAAAGTATGACTTCATATCATGCATTAATTTTGAAATTAACTATATAACAGATGTCAGATAACTTTTGATGGATAATTTCTTTTAATATATATAAATAACAATTGCTGATTGTAAAATGGCCAAATTTAAGTTTTTGTATATTGCAATGCTTAAAATTTATTATTTTTAGATTTTCTCAGCAAATGAAGATGAAAAAAAAATGTTGGATAAGTATGTTCAGAGCTTTAGAACAGGATCATTAGATGCTCATAAAGATGGTTCTCGTTATTGGATAAAAGACAAAGGGCCAGTAGTAGAAACGTGAGTTTTTTTTAATATCACAAGAATTACAGTTGCAATAACACACCATCAACTACCGTAAATCATCAGGCTATAATTTGGCAATAATCATCCGTGTGGTAAGCGGTAGTTGTAGGTTTGAGTCCTGCTCTGGGTTGCTTCTTTTCTTCCAGTTTAGTCTAAAAATTATTTAATTAAATTATAATTATTAAATTTAATACGAAATGATGCCTAATGTTACCCTCTAGGGCCAAATTTATTATTATTGCCAAATTATAGCCAATGATTTATGGCAGTTGATGGTATGTTATTGCAATGTATCAGGTTTAGTAAAAGTTGTTTATATTTATATAATCACAGTTGCACTAATTATAACATATTTTAAAAGATTGCTATTAGTTAATTAACTATAAAATTAAAGTATAAACTTTTAATTAAAAGGTAGTAAATGTAAAAAATTACTCTTTCTTATGCTCTTGTGAGATTTCAAGCTCTTTTGTAAATTGTAACACTTCGAAAGTATTCGTTCATTATTTCTCTTCTTTCTCTAATTTTCCCTTCCGCAGTGGGAGATCGAGAAGTGACCTTTCACTCTTTTGCTCTCCCCACGGTCATACACCTGTGCTTCGATCTACAAATAATGAGTTAATAAGGAAATATCATAATTTTTTTTACCCGACAGAGGGTAATGAAGAGGTCAAAAAAAACCCGGACATACCCACACATCTTATTTCATTTGATTTTGAAACCAATAAAAGCCAGTCAGATGACCATTCAAGCTAACAATTATTACTAAGGTTTCAATACAAAACCTGACCTTAGTCACTACCTTTGATAGTTCCCCTGTGGGACCAGTATAAAAAGGGATCGCACCTGTGCCTAAGGGCGATCATCGAAAGGAAGCCTAGGAGGATGACTCCATTTGGACCTCTGCTCAGCTACCCTACCAAAGAACTGCTCAGGACTTGATCGCCACAGGCTAAGAGGTACTTACTTAGAGTAGATAAACTCTCTCTGTTGGGATAGTTTATAAGTTAGACGAGTATTAACTCTTGATATGTAACTCTAATCCGGTCAGACTGTGGAACCTGTGAGAAGTGTCGATGAGACCAAATTGAGTTGCACTACTAGAATTGTTTATCTTTTAAATCAGTATTGTATCTTTCGTTTTATTCTCTCTTTGTATAATCTTAGTTGTTTATTAAATATATTATTATTATGGTTAAATGCATTTATTTATGCTCTACTTGACCTATCTATTGGTAATGGTGGTAGCTCCATTACCAATAGATAGGTTGGTAATGGAGCTATCACCTATCTATCATCAAAATCAAATTCTCTCTTCTTTGTGCAAATCATGAAAATAATAGTTCAGGCCATCTGGATCATCCAGATTGAACTTTTTTTAATCTGAAAGAATAACCTATTGCCATTCTGTATCCCAGGACATGTGATCCCATGCATAAGTCAATGTTGCAGTTTTATGTTTAGTTAGGGTAGGTTTTCTTTTCAATTTCTTTCTTCTAAGTTGTTCTGATGATTTTATCACTCTTTGAAGAGTACAGGGATGAACTTTTAACTCTGATTCACAATTTTTAATGCTGATAATCATACTGTTGCTTGCAACCCTCAAAAATTGCCTATCTCTTGCATTAAACTTAGAAGGTCTTCCACTATTGTTTTTTGAGTTGTATTTATCACCTTTTTCAATATAGTTGTACACAACATTGTGACTCCTTCCTGTTTGGGTAGCTACAGCATGACATTTTTGTAACTATAGCCATAAAACATCAATTTGTCCTTATTCCTTCTCTTTCAGTTTTACACCTTTTCACATGGTTGACAGATTATATTTTGTACACAAATATATGCAAATATCTCTTTATATATGTACACATCCTTAATTATTTACATTTATATGAAAATTTGCAGTTATTTTTTCAGTTGTATTTAAAGAATCAGAATTAAAATTTTACTTTTAAACATAAATTATAAATGATTATGGCTTATTTTAAAATTTTCAGTTACATAGGATTTATTGAAACATATAGAGATCCTGCTGGAATGAGAGGAGAATTTGAAGGTAATTTTATATTCATTCATTAATAATTTTTATTCATATAAAATTTCAACACTACATTTTTGAGAATTTATGTATAAAATTTGAAATAGTAAATAATTTTTAACATAATTTATAAGAAAGCATTATTTTTATTATTAAATTTTATTTCTATAGGATTTGTTGCAGTAGTAAATAAAAATATGAGTGCCAAATTTAATGAACTTGTTAATAATTCTACAAAATTTTTGCCATTATTACCTTGGCCTGCTGCATATGAGAAAGATAAATTCTTGAAACCAGATTTTACATCTTTAGATGTATTAACTTTTGCTGCAAGTGATATTCCTGTTGGTATATGTATACCAAATTGTAAGTATTACAAAATAATTTTAAAAATTTTATTTATGCTAATGTGTAATGGATATTTTATATATAAATTGAAATCCAGTAAATGTATTATTATGGTAAATGTTAACCAAGTAAAATTCTACTTTTATTCTGATTAATATTAAAGAATATTGACTAATGGTGATAAAAGAATTTAAATTTTTCTTATTTTATCAATTAATACTAAAAGGATCGAGTAATTCTTTAATGCACTCTGATGAATTTTACTTGAAAACATGAGTTCATAGCACAAAAATATACTGTTTAATGCTACTTTTTATGCAAATGAGAAATTGTTAAACCAACCAAATAATTTATACATATCTTATAACTAAATATTTTAAAGATATTTGGCTATTGAGTCCATATGAGGTTTCATGTGGAGGTATTTCTTAAGAAACAATTATTTTTTTAATACTTTAATATCAAATTACTGTTAAATCTACATAATATACAGTCAAACTTCAGTTTTTGAATGACTCACTTTTCAAACAAATCAATTCATGAACAGAATTTCAAACTCATATTTGCCCCAGTTGGCATATGATAACTTGGTTGCCAAACAAGTTACTCAGCAAGAACCAACCACAGATTAGAGAGACACAGACACTCAAGTCCCTATACTTCCTATGTTATGTTAATTAATTAAAGAAAATCGACGGTTCAACCAATCAGAGACATAATTTCTGATTCAGAATTTAGTGGTGCTGAGATCACTCACATCATTAGATGTCATGACACAAATCATCAATGATGTTACTATTTAAATTAGATTTCAATGCACATGCAGGAAATATATTACTACTTTTTTCATTACATGCTGCAGTTGAATTTAAATCACATTAATTAATAAAAACCGTGTTAATTAACATTCATAATATAAATGGCAATCAAGAATTTGTCTTTAAAGGTGCTGAAGTCAAATTATATCTGAAGTCTATGTAATATAATTGCAAATAATATAATTGCAAAAGGTAAAAAAAAGGCTTTATTTTGGAGGTCAAGAATGGATTAATCCATTTTCTATTGTTTATTATGGGAAAATTTATTTCAGTTTTAGAAAAACTTTTAGGAACAAATTATGTTTGAAAACCAAGATTTGACTGTATTTTGATTGAATATTTATAACATATGATCTGATCAGTTGTCTACTATTAAATTTTAATTATTATATAATATAAAGAAATGGTAACATCAGATTAATGAAAAATCAAAAAGTTTTTAAACAATTGGTAGTATTTAAAACCTTCTTGTGAAATTATTCCTGTCTAAATTACCTGGTGCATATATCCACTTGATTGCCTACTTGCAGTCATGTTTTGCATTATAAAACTAGGTGTGAATAGAAATATATTTTTAAAATGTCTGAGTTAAATGAATATTATGAGACGAATCTACAAATTCCTGATGTCAGTTTTTTTTATTAGTGTAACTTTGAAAAAGTAATTATAATAATGTAAAATGTCTCTTGCAGTATGAATTATTAAAAAATTCACTGCTTACAGCCACCATCTTATATATATTCCAGAATCTTATTTATACTCCACCTATTACTTGTAAAAGTTTTTTTTCTTCATATATACAGTAACAACATGGTTACATGTAAAAGTTGTATTATAAAAATCAAAAACCTATAATCAGGTAAAGTAACCTATCTGAAAAATAGATTAATTAGGAAAGAATATAAATATTAATTTCAAAAATTAGAAAATGAGAAAGGTTGATATCCTACTGTTTTTATTAACACTATGCATAGCATATCATCATGTGTTTATTCAGACAATTTAAGTTATGTAAAAAAATTTAACTGCTGGCTCAGAAATTTTTTTTTTCTGATAACTATTAAATTTTCTACCAGTATAATGAAGGTTATTTAGTGATAGGCTATGAAATATTACATAATATAGTTCATCATTATGTATTTATTGATAAATTTGATTTTATGAAAACACTAATAAATTCAGATTAACATTGATTCAGAGAAAGTTTGAGTTGTCAACCATCATTCATATGTTACATCACTTTTACACAAACATTATTAAACCTATGTTATTATGGTGATTTATAAGACTGATTAAATTTTGTAAGAGAAAAAAGTAAGAGTTTGACTCTTTAAATAATGATTTCTTTATTTTTTAACTTCCAACACCATCCTTGTATTTCCATTATTGCCCACCAGTGGCCAAGTGGTTCTGTTCCCTGAACACTGGAAATTCGATTGTGGGTTCATGCCTTGCCTGGATGGTCTGGCCATGTGGAGTTTTCCGGGTTTTCTCCACATCTGTAATGCTTGAATAGGGACCAGTTACCCTTAAAAAGACCTCCCAGAATGCATCCCCCTAGGCAGATCGCNTACAGAATATTGAAGCTTATAATAGTAGAGTGTTTAAAACTGTTGATGATGATGGAATCAGTACATATGAAATTCGGTTAGCTTCTGTAGCTTCTACAGGTAATTAAAACTAGATATGTATTGTTAAAGTAAGAGTATTAGTTCTAGAATTAATATTTAATAATATCATACCAGACAAAAAAATGATTTAGTAAAATTGAAGAAAATATGTCAAAAAGTATAAGGAATTCATTAACCTATCTGATGTTGAAATTTTTCTCAGTTGTGTGTCACGCCATATTGAATTTTTGTTGATGTTAAGCCTAACAAAAATTATACATTTTTGAAAAAAATAATCATGGTTATTGTATTGTTCAAAATTATTTTTTTATTTTGCACAAACAAAATAAATATATTAATAAATGTAAAAACAAAAAAAAAAAAAAGTATATTTCAGAAGTTAGTTTTAACCACAAAACAACCATTTATTATCCTAACATTTTAATTATTAATAGCATATCAAAATTTTGAATTTGATTTCATTATGCTATTTTCAGAGGATAATGAAGATTCAGGACTTCTTGGGCAGCACATCATTAATGGATGTAAATTTGTATTAACACGTGGTGATTATTCTAAATTACTTAAGTGTGTAAATGCTAGTTTACAGAAAGCTAAGGTAGGTATTTTTCAATATGAATAAATGATAATACTGATAATTTTTATGAATTATATTTAATTATTGAAAAATGATATTGTTAGGAAATTCCTGAATACAGACATTGACACTGACACACTTATTTAATTTTAGTTTTGTTTTGATTGCTATGCCTTGACTCTGGTCTGGCATAGTACACAGCCACCGGTGTGAACCGAGTATAACCCATTGAACCCAACATAATAATAATAATATTTTATGTAACTAAATATGAACAAAATAGTTAATTTTAAAAATCAATTTTTTAAAATTATTTTTCTTTTATTATATCCTCTCTCCCTGGTAGTAATGGAAGTTACTATATGTCTAAAATATTTTGACAAAAAAATTAATTAAATTTTCAGTGTGTTGATATGGTTATATCTCATAATGCTTGAATATTCAGATTTTACATTATACTGCTGAAACAGATTTTTTTTTAATATTAAATTTCTATAAATCTTTATCTATAAAAAATTGATTTAATTATTATTCTGTATGTTTTGAGACTGATACTGACTTTTGTAAAATTTTAAAAAATTGTTAAAGTTTTATGACATATTTGTTTTTTGTTCATAGAAGTTAATAAGGTTCATTTTGGTTAATTCCTATTACAAAAAGTAATCTGCTAGAGTTTCATTCTTACTAGTATGTTTTGTCATTCTGAGACTCTTTTCAAGTGAAATAAAACAGAAGGAAGTAATTGCTATTATAAAGCAATATTATGTTACAAGAAACAAAACTACAATGTCCTCTGAATGAACAGTAACCTTTTCTGTTTATGTCAATTATTTTTAATTTATATAAAGCATTACAGTTGATTTTATTTTACAAAGAATGAAAAAGTGTATCTAATTTATTCATAAACAGGCTAATGAATAAAAACAAGTTTTATAAATGTAAATAATTATAGATATATATTTATTGAACTTTAAATTCAAACTCTTAAAGTTCCATTACAAAGAAGTTTACTAACAGTTTTTCATCACTACCTGTTATATGTTAAATCACTGTTTTGTTTTGAGTTTTATTTGACTATATTTTCTAGTCACTTTTATACAAATGTAGTTATTTAGAAAAGATGATAACTCTGATTAATTTGTGCTTTCTGTAATGTGCAAATATTTAATGTTTATTAAATGTATATATTGTAACTAATTAAAAATATATATATTCTGTTACAATAGTTTTAAAAACTAATTCTGTTTCAGAAATTTCTGGAAATTCAATATTTAAATTATTTGATCCAAAATGTTGAGATTAAAAAGAATGTGAAAAAGCATTATATTTCTTTAAAAATTTGTAGTTTGTTGCCAATTATCTTTACACAAAATTAAAACAGTTAAGCAGCTGTGCATTGCCTAAATCATTGTTTCTGAATTTGCATTTTAGTTCTGAATTTTTTATCAGATTATAATTACATTATTAGCCATTAAATTATTAATATTGATTAAATTATACCAATTATTTATCAGCTTTGACTTTGAAAAAATGTTTCTTTTAAAAAATTCTTTTACTTTAAAAAAAGTATGACTTCATATCATGCATTAATTTTGAAATTAACTATATAACAGATGTCAGATAACTTTTGATGGATAATTTCTTTTAATATATATAAATAACAATTGCTGATTGTAAAATGGCCAAATTTAAGTTTTTGTATATTGCAATGCTTAAAATTTATTATTTTTAGATTTTCTCAGCAAATGAAGATGAAAAAAAAATGTTGGATAAGTATGTTCAGAGCTTTAGAACAGGATCATTAGATGCTCATAAAGATGGTTCTCGTTATTGGATAAAAGACAAAGGGCCAGTAGTAGAAACGTGAGTTTTTTTTAATATCACAAGAATTACAGTTGCAATAACACACCATCAACTACCGTAAATCATCAGGCTATAATTTGGCAATAATCATCCGTGTGGTAAGCGGTAGTTGTAGGTTTGAGTCCTGCT